CTACGGTAAATAATCCACAAATTATCATTTTTTTTAATTAATGATTTTTTTTTTTTTACGATAAGAGAAAATAGAATAAAGTGCAATTTTAATACAAAAGTAAATGACCTATTTATAATAAAAAGATCTACACATCTTTAATACACATCCAATGCAATTAATCAAAATCTAACAATTACAATCCACAAGGGTCGAATAAATCGTAAACTGATATGGGGCCCACCATGATCCGCGTGCAACAATCAAGAGAAGTAAATGGTGGACTGGGCTTGATAAATGGACTTGTTACACTTTATCCCATTAAGTAAATCAGCCCTCAGCAAATAAATTAAATTGACAGAGTAAAAGAAATTGAAAATTACTGATTATATGGCCGAGTTAAAGCCTAACTCGACAACTATCTACTGTGATGTGAAGGCTAACATTGGGCGGGTTTAGTGGCTACACTGGTAGAGAAGCATATATTGAAGAAAGCAAAAGTCCTAGTGTTTTGGTCTGTTTTTAGTGGAACTTGCAATTTTATCACTTGTGCTTCTCAATGATGTCGGAATGCGTATCATGACTTTTTTTTTCTCTCTCTATCTCTTCAATCGATTTGGCGTTACTAAATAAACAAAGATTGTTTTAAGTAAATTCGCAAAGTTAGAATAAAATTGAGTGCAGGGATATAAAGCATATGGATTCATTAACAATTTTTACAACCTCAGCTTAAAAAATTATTAAGCTCACGGATTTCAGCCACTATAAGTTCTATTGCTCTTATATATAGAATTAGGACATTTGAGAATGGAACTTGGTTGGCGAAATAAAAATAAATTATAATTGTCTGATATCATAAATAAAAATAAATTATAATTGTCTGATATCATAAATTAATGCTTAGATTTGATCAATTGGTCAAACATATATTTAGTAAAAATCGAGGTGTCATTTTAGTAGTTACTAGTATATACCCCGTGCGATGCACGGGACAGAGATATTAAATGAGTTATTTTCACACCCTTGTCCGTTTAAGTCTAAAAAATAATAGGGTTATTATCTATTTTCTACCTCTTTTAATCAACGTTAAGTCTAAAAAACAATAGGGTAATTATAAGTTTTTTTCCACATCTTTTAACCAGCGTTATTTTTTTAGCGAGAACATTAAATATGAGCATGATAGGGCAAACTTGTAAAATAATTAATATATTATCTCATTAAAATATTTATACTAATAAAAATTTAATTTTAGCATATAAATTTATCCCTTAATATAAGAGAAAGTAACAGTTTTACTTATTGTTGTTCACTATATAACATTTAATTATTATTTTATTATATAATAAAAAAGAATACTGTTAAATAGTATAGTAGAATTGTTATAAAATTATATGAATTACTTTTTTACAATATGGATTTAGTATCTTTTTATAATTTGATAATATAACTATAATATATTCTTAATGATACAATCTGAAATCGGATTACAGAATTTCAATACATAAATAATAAAATTTTTGGTAAAAAGATAAGAAGGAAATTTCAATTTAAATCTACAAAAAGTTTAAAACGATTTTATGGGATTTTGTTGACTAAACGGATTGTATGAGATAAAACAAATAGAAGATAAGAAAGAAATTTCAAATATACAAAAAGTTAAAGCCGATTTGTGGGATTTTTTCTCAGGAAAACCGATTGTATGGGAATAGTAATAGCATTAATTGAATCGCATAACATTAATTTTAGTATAAAATAATTAAATAAAATACATGTTAGAAATAGTAATAGCATTAATTGCAGTTGACTTTTTTGGATAATATTTATAGTAAATAGGATTCCTTTTTATATAATTATAGATGTGCACTTATAATTTTCAAGTGGTGGCATTATTGTATTTTGCATCAATTGGTCAAACCTACATTTAGTAAAAAACGAGGTGCCATTTTAGTAATGTCCTATGTGTACTTATACTTTTCAAGTGGTGGCATTATTATAATTTGCAAAATACGATGATATATTTAATTGACATGTATAATATTTTGCATATAATTTATCATTATTGTGTATGTTTCAATAACACAAATCAACAAAGTATGACACAAACAAGATTAACTCTTTCAACTTTGGATCTCGCTCTATGGTTCATTATTTTATTTTATTTGCTGTTTTAGAACCATAGTTTTATGCATTTCTGAACAATATTTTAGACACTATTTATCAATATTTGACTTTTAGACATTGTGTGTCAACAGACTCTTATTGTGCAAATTTTTTAATGCATATTACATACTTATAAACCAAAATGTGCATTTTTAGTGGTTGATACATCTATCTGGGTTTGGACCCGTTTGAGAGCGCAAACGAGGACGAGATGACCTAGACATGCACATCACGCCGCGCGAGGATATAGGAGTGAAATATTCAATACTTCCTCCTATATATTCTTAATAAGTATCGTTTTAAGAAATTGTACAGTAATTAAGAATCATTTTTCGTCAATAATAACTCTCATTAATGAAAACATAGTGAATATAAATGTTTTAGATAGGGATGTTTTGATAAAAGATGAAGAGTGAATATGAAAAGACGTAGTGTAATTATTAGTTAAATGAGAGTAATAATGGAAAAATATGTACAAAATATCTAAAACGTCATCTATTTGATTAATAGTTGATAACACCAAAATGATATTTAAAAAGAATAGGATGTAGTATGTTTTTTTTTTTCTATGGTCTAATTGTGGCTCCTCCTTAGATGTTGGATGTAATTATCATAAATTCTTATATTATGGAAACATGCATGATAATTGTTAATATCAAAATCAGATTCCGTAGATTAAGGGCGTTTTCGAGTGGATTTAAGAAGAATTCAGGGGTAATTGTTATAAGGCCGAGGTGCGATGGAGATCCTCGGTGTCATCTCAATAACTAATCGGCATCTCGGTACTACCACCTCGGTTTCCAAGACCAACAAAGCAGGCTCCCAAATCGTCCCAACATTGAACAAGTGACCTCAGGATTGCCATCTCGGTTCTTTGGGAAGGACGTCGCAGGTTAACAGACTTATAGGACAATTGATGTCCAGAGGAATCCGACCTCGCCCCGACAGAAGTGACGCCTGTCACTCAGTAAGAGGGGCACCCATGCTTTCATCATTACCTAAAAAGTGTGCTAACGTCATTGTCGCCCCTAAAACATCAAATCCGCATTAAATACAGCCGACTTATCTTGGAAGGTGTGCCAGACATAACTATAAATAGCAGCATTAAAATCGATACGAGGACCACGACCAACACATTAAATTCACGCATTTATTACCTCGGCTTCCTCTGTTTCCGATCTCCTGTACTAAAATACCGACTTCTTCGAAACTGTAACCGACCTCATAAAATTCAATGAAAATCATATTCTCTGCAATTCTCGTTATGTTTTAAATCTTAATTATGTTGATTTAATCCGTTTATCAACAACAACAACAACAACAACAACAACAACAACAACAACAACAACAACAACAATAATAATAATAATAATAATAAAATGATGTGTACAATATTGTAAGATTACATGTTTTATAAGTAATGAGATATAATCAATTCCCACAAGATATAGTAGAACTCCATTATGTTGATAGGGCTATTTTGTCGCTACTTACATTGCTAGGTCAATTAATAGGACCACCAACTCTATTATCATTAGGTAATTCGAAAATCTTAGGTCGAGCTACGTCTTACTTTTGTTGCATAAAGCTGTCGATCAATCAACTATATATCACGAACCCTACTTCCGGTTCACGGATATAAATTAACTCGGGCGAGCAACCAAACTTTTTTAGTTGTATCATTGGTGTAGGACTCATTGTAATTATGCATATATTTAAGAAATTAAGCATATAGTGAATGAAATGTAATAAACTGTGGATACATGTGACGGTCCAAATCTAGTATCTCGGGTCACGAGACAGCGACGTGCTCTCCACCTGCCAACTCGGATCGGACCCCACCATTTCAAAACCCTAATTTCAATGGAACACAACAATTATGCACACAACAAGAAAGTGATGATTAAAATAAATAATAGGTTAACTCTTTTACTTGGCTTTGTTGCCACTTGCCATATCTATTGCAGTTTGTAATTTAGCTATTTGCAAGAAATGCATCTTTCCATAGAGTTATCTAATAATACAGATGTGAACTGTATTAGCTATAATTTATTATTACATATATAGGTATATCAGATATGAAAAGTAATAACTACTATGAAATTTAACACTAGATAAAATAAAAAAAGACTAAAGAAAATTATTAGAAAGAGAAAAAGACATATTATATATTTAATTCAATATACATTAGAATAAAAGTTAATCTTTCGAAATCACTACATGAGCATATGAAAACATAGGAAAAGATAGCATATATATATATATATATATTAGTAGTGGACAGCTTTATCTTCGGCTGGGGACTGTATTTTTTTTTTCTTTAGTACAAGACTGTATTTTATACTATATCTATCTATATACAGCCTGAAGTGCAATACTTTCTCTATTTCCTGCCTTCTTTATTCTCTCTTCCTCTTTGTTCTTACACATACCTGATTAATTCTGTCTTTATTTATTTATTTATTTATTTCTCTCTATTTTCTCCTCAAATCTTTGTGCTTAGTTTATATTTTGACATATCCATCAAAATCCATCATTATATTTTCTACCTTGTTTATATTTCTTTTTTCTCCTTGTTTAGATTCCACCAACAGATCAACCAAAATCTTCTATCATGTCTTCGCTGTTTTGATTTCCTAACAGAAAANAACAGAAAAAAAAAAAAAAACTCCTTGGTCAGTTTAATTATCACAATAACTAACTCCTATTAGGAATATCGCAAGAAACCACTTGAATTAGGGTTTCGAATCGATCTTCTTCCTCGATCCCAATCCAATTGCATAAAAAAAAGCCCTTTATCGATCCAATTTAGTAAAACAAAAATCGAAACCCTGGCAAACCCTTGGTGGACCGGTGCCCAGATGGGCCTCCCGGCCGGTATTGAACCGGCGGCCCCCCTTACAAACACCAAGGTCAACGAAAAGGATGAGGATGACGATAAGGACGAGGATAAGGATGGTGCTGCCGTCGAGGTCGTGAATCGCCGCCCACGTGGCCGCCCGCCCGGTTCAAAGAACAAGCCGAAACCCCCGATATTCGTGACCCGGGATAGCCCCAACGCCCTCCGCAGCCACGTCATGGAGGTGGCCTCCGGCGCCGACGTGGCCGACTCCATCGCCCGATTCGCCCGCCGCCGCCAGCGCGGCGTCTGCGTCCTCAGCGGCGGCGGATCCGTCGCCGACGCCACCATCCGCCAGCCGTCGGCCCCCGGGGCCGCCGTGGCACTCCACGGCCGGTTCGAGATCCTGTCGCTGACGGGGGCGTTCCTCCCCGGGCCGGCGCCGCCGGGGGCCACGGGCCTGACCGTGTACCTCTCCGGCGGGCAGGGGCAGGTGGTGGGGGGGAGCGTGGTGGGCCCGCTCGTGGCGGCGGGGCCGGTGATGGTGGTGGCCGCCACGTTTGGCAACGCCACATACGAGAGGCTGCCGATCGAGGAGGAGGAGGAGGAGGAGGAGGGCGGCGGATCTGGCGCCCCAGCCGGCGGCCATGAGGAGGGAGATCCACAGTTGCATAACAATCCCTCATCTTTGGCTATTTACAATTTGGCCCCTAATCTGGTGGCCAATGGAGGGCAGTTGAATCACGATGCGTATGGGTGGGCACATGCCGACCGCCAGCCTTACTGATCCACAGATCGTATCAAAGGTAATGGAAATTTTATGATTAAGTAATAGTTATCGTGTGTGAGGACTTTTACTTGGGAGAAGTTTTATTATATATATATAGCGTGTATGTGTAGATAGAAAGCGTAACAATTAATATGTGTAAATTAATTAAAATTATCCTTTCCTGGCACCAGTTTGGAAATATTTAAATTATTATGTTTTGATTGGAACTAATAGTTAATTTAATTCCATTGTATTTGCAATAAATTTATTTTGTTTGCTTTTTCCATCATCTGGACTATAATTAATATATTACGAAATAGCTGGGGTGCTGTTATTTTTGTCGCTTCTCAATCATCTTATTTGTTTTTTGGAGTAAGATCATGTCTACTTTTTATGCTTCACTTGATGATTTCAATTCCATGACCAAATCACAAATTCTTATGTGAATTTGCCTTATTATTGAGTAGGTAAATCGGTTATATTTTTTTTTAACAAAAATGAATTCTTATATTATTGAATGTCATCATTTAATTTAATTTGTTCATGTTGTTTTTCAGAATCTGCCATTAAAGTTTGAATGTTCTGTAGAAAAAATATGATTGTTTAGCTAGCCTAATAGTAATCTGACTGATATGAAGTAACAATAATGAGGTCATTTTTTTTTTTTTTTTTTAATCTGGATTTTTTTGGTAATATCATAGTTCAATTTATCTTAAAAGTATTTAATTTTGAGATTATTTCCATAGATGCTCTGAACAAATCCAAATTGGAACTCTCAAAGGCAGTCTTAAAGGTCTCAAGTTTCTGATTTCATTGACATTCTTGGCTTAAGATGATGATCGTATGTCATATTTTCCCAGTTTACAGTAACTTGTGGAACTAGGTTTAACTAGGTGGCATACTGATGATTATCTGAACATAAACAAATATTTCCAACGCTTATCAATAAATTAAATAATTATCGAATAAAAAAATACTCGTATTTACTAAAATCTTGAGGATCTGATTGTATTATAATTTGCAGACACTCCATGTATTCAAAGTTTCAAACAGTGCAATTTAGTTGACAGATTGTAGATTCACCTGTGTAGTAAACATAAATGTTCCACCTTCTCTGGGTATCTTTAATTGCAGCATACGGTGCCCATTCTTGATTTATTTTATTTTATGTCCATATTATTTTAATATTTCTCTGT